AAAAGGCTTATACTTTTCTATGTTAAAAAAATATAAAGCATTTGAAGTGAAATAATTATAATGTCTAATTATAATAATAATAAAATAATAAAAATAATTATTGCATAATTCAGGAAGGAAGGACTGTGACTCAAAACAAACAAACAAAAAATTACTGTTTGCAGTTTCTTAAACCAGTGCTGCAGTGTCCTAAAGAAGAGCAATTGGGGTGTTGGGAACAAGCAGCAAGACAAGCAGGTGCCAGGGCCGGAAGCCTGGCTGCCTCCTCCTGAAGAGGCCAGCAGGACTGGATGCAGGGCTTGGCTTACCAGGAGAGGACACAAGCCCAAAGTGGTAGGAACCAAAGAGGGAGGGCCGTGGCACTTCTGACGGCTTCACCATTTTCCTGACACTAGCCATGCAGCTTGAAACTGGGTGGAGCAGGAGTTCACGTGTGGGAATCTGGGGAAGGATCCTCCAGGTGCCAGGCCCCTTCTCCCAGGCCCGAAAGCAAAGTAGGTCCCAATGAGTGCTAGCTGATCATTGAGGATGGAGAGTCAGCTAAATCAAAGCAGCGAGAAAAATATAGAGCCAGAGGCTAGGTGGACAGAGCAGGACACTGGACACACAATAGACAGGAGGGAGGGGGTGGGAGCCCGAGTGGAGCCAGGAAAAGCCTCCAAGTGCACAGCTGGCCTTTGCCCGGGTGGCAAGTCATTTAATGAGGCTGTTGCCTGCCAGACCCGGGGTCTCTCTGCAAGGAGGGGCCTCACCACTGATGAGACTGAAGGCTGGAACAGGAGATGAGTGCCTCACCTCTCCCGTGCGGGAGCGGCATCGCGGGTGAGTGTTAGTCAGCCCAGGAGTCAGGCAAATTCTCACCTGAAGCACTTGTAACTTAAGGACAGTTCCTGGAGCCCTGGCTGATGGGTCCCAGCCTGCTGGAGACTGCAGACGTGCACCTGCTTCTCAGCCCGAAGCAGAGTGGGACAGCACAGTGATGTGCCACGCAAGCCTCAAGTGAGACAAGACACCAGCTACCCGGAAAACAGCCTTGAAAGGTACCATGCCAGGCCCTCCAGAGCAGGGGGAGTTGTCAGTAGGCATGTGCTTTCCAGGGCTGCCGTCGCCAGAAGCAAGGCTGGCATCTGAGGAGAGGCAACAGGCCCCATCTGCCACCCACCATCTGGGCTCAGGAGCCTGCACGGATTCGCCCTCAGCCCTGACCTCAGCAGCTCATTCCGCATGCACCACTGTGGCATACTTAAAACTCAGAAATCCTGAAATATTTTGACATGTTGCTGCTGTCTTGATATCATCTCCTTAATGATTTTCTCATATAAATCAGTAACACTTGGGTTGACACTAATGTAGTCCCACAGACAACTTCAAACCCCCAAGCACGGGTGAGCCCGGTCACGGAGCCTGATCATGGAGCCCATGTGGTGCCAGAATCAGAGGGGCAGCTGTGAGCTCCTGCTGCTGTGCTGAAAATGGGCGCTTGGAGGCCCGGGGCGGGAGGGAACACACACTTTCCTGCAAGACTGCAGTTTACTGTACAGTTAAGCTTCACAGTAGTTAGACTATTAGTGGCCCCTTTTTTTGATAGTATGGAACACTTTTGAAAGTAGTTTCTCGTGCGTTATTCTACTTGATTCCCAGCACATCTGTAAGACAGGTGGTAAATACCACTGTGGTTAAGTGACAATTTGGCACTACGGTGATGGAGCAGAACCAAACCTAGCTCATACCTCTTGCAACCCAGTTCAGTTATGGGTACAATCTACCAACCTTCCGGGGTAAGTAAACTTCTGCAATCCTGCCTGGGGACTTAAGCACACTGTTTCTAAGGCGAAACGCTGTTAAGGTTCCCAAAATCAATTTGTCAATAAACTTTGAGTATCCACTTTTAAATGGCTCGTGCTGCACTCATCTATCAGGGGGAGTTGCTGTCTACAGCCGTTGTATCATGTCCTCAAAGTCACTGAGTTTGTTTGCAACGATTGCTAAATCTGTGATTCCTTGAAGAGGAGGAACAAGGTGTCCAGGGCTCTTTTGGAATAATCAGTACTTCGGTTCTTCTCTCGTTTCCTCATTCTCCCATATCTCTGTCTTTGTCGCACTGGCAACTGTTGTGGTCCTTGTTAGAAAAACAGGCTGTCACCTATTCTTATCTTTCTGTGGCTCTCATTTACTTATTGGACGTAACTGTATATGAGAAACTATGTTGGGCAGGGGTCACAGAGATAGGTGAAAGGAAAGCCCTGTCCCTGAGCACTCACGGTCACTCTGTTGTAAGTTACAATACGGTAACTTACGGGGTCTCTGGCGCTGCAGTGTGGAGCCCAGTGTGCTGGCTGGTGTGTGGAGAAGCCATGGCAGCTGGTCTGGCTTTCAGGAGGTGGCATGTGGCAGGGGCCGTGGCAGGAGTGGGACTTTGCAGAGCCTGGAAGGGAAGCTGGGCGTGCTGGCAGAGGGACAGACGGCACGTATAAAGGCTGGGGCACCAAGTGGCTCAGGCCTGGGGGAAGGAGACCTAAGTTGTGTTAGGTCCACGCAGAGCCTGGAAGGGAAGCTGGGCGTGCTGGCAGAGGGACAGACGGCACGTACAAAGGCTGGGGCACCAAGTGGCTCAGGCCTGGGGGAAGGAGACCTAAGTTGTGTTAGGTCCAAAGAACACAGGACTCACTTAATTTTCTCCTCTGTCTCTCTGCGCCTTGTTTTTATACTTTCTGCATCTCGTTGGGAGCGCCTATCATGTTTTATATTTTCTTCTCCTATCTGTCGAAAATCATTTTCAAGATAAGACCCTCCCCTTAGTAATCTTGTCCTTGCGGCCTTCCCCTTTCTTAATAAGCCTCAAGGCACTTTCTTTTCTCCTCTTGATTATCCATCAAAGGACAGAAATCTACCCGTTCCTACACTTGCCAAAAGACGAGACAGGTAAGCCGTCCTCGGCCCGCCACGCTGTCCGCTCTGCACTCCAGGCTTCTCCGTCAGGTCCGTACCCTGACGGTAGGTTTCTTTTATTTTATTTATTTATGTATTTATTTATTTATGTATTTATTTATTTATTTATTTATTTATTTATTTATTTATTTATTTATT